CTCAGCGAACGCTGAAAACCTTGCTTCGCTAGCCACTGATTCAGCTCGGTATTCCACTCACGACCGGACTGTCTTAGTCCATACAGTGCCTTCATAACCACGTACATGTGCCCCTCAACTTCACACGGAAATTCCATCGATTGACTTCACATACTGTCGTATACCAAATTTTGCATTCAGGTACGCTGTATTGGTATCTCCACCATACAGCTTCAGTATCAATGCTGCTGCCAATCCAAGCATTAATCGAAACAAAAACATCCGTGCCACAGGTGAGAATGTATCTCTGAAGTAAATTCCAGGTCGTTGATAGTTGCCCATTCCTACCAGTCTCGCCTTAAAGCGAATCACGTAGCCTTGATAGTCCGACTTGATATCATAAACCCATCTTGTCCTGATTGGTTTGGCATCCTCTGGAACATCTTCAGCAGAAATCTCCATCAGAACTTATTTCGCTCTCATTGAAGCCATCTCCTTCAACTCAGCTTCACGCCAAAAGTCTTTATACTTTGACCTCATGGCTTCCCTGTGATTTCTGGGGATCTTGATTGTTAGCACGAATCGGTGTTCCATTCTGGCCCAATACTCGAGCCGTACTCTGCAATGCATTCACCACGTAGTCGCTCAGATAGTCGGGCCGTCGACGCTCATGGTATTCGCGTAATCCTGTGCGAGTTCGTTTTGGCAGCGGTTTCTCAGCACACTCCTCCACCCGTCCTTCTTCTGACGATGTTTCATCGCGATGACGTTTGCCATCAACTCTCCACATACTCTTGCAACCGTAACAATATCATCATCATCATCATTGATTTCTGCAATGTCTTCCAGTACTTCTTCTTCTGCAATGTCTTCATTATCTACCATAGAACCACACACTCCAGCAGTTGAATCACTCCCATCATTGGAGCTTCTTCTCGTGCCTCAGGTTCGTACTCTGGTGTGGTATTTTCTTCAGGTAGTACGCTCACAATAATCTCACTGCGCTGATCACTATTACCAGGAGTTGTTTCTTCACATTGTATCGGAACTTCATCAGTCGCACGATCTGCAGTCACAATACCAGTCACCGTTTGTCCACTCGCTGCAGTTGGTTCACTCGGCAAGGCAGCCGTGACGCCTTCAACAGTCGCAACACTTCCGACCTCAGGAGCTGCAACTTCAGGAGCTGCTGTAGTTCCTCCACTCGCAACACTTCCGACGTCAGGAGCGATAGTAGCTCCACCACGTTCTGTGTCTGCAGGAGCTTCATATTCCTCGCCTCCCTCGAGATCGACGGTCTCCATGACTACGGTCTCGACACTTACTGAAGCGACGGTAACATCACTCTCGAGCTGAACTGTAGACTCATAGAGAGTAGAGTCCCTCTCACACTTTTCTTCAGCTGCACTCAACTGCTCAAAGTGTAATGATTCCAAGTCTGCCTTATCTACTGATGCTTCATGTCTGTCACGATACATTACGTCTTCAGTGACTCGTAGATCTGCTACAAACTTGGCTGTCCGGTTATCTGGAAAATAGACTTTACACCCAACGACATCTTCAGCATAACCAAGAACAAAACCCAGTCGAGCATTATCATGATATTTCTTCCTTCCAGGCGTCACTGGGACGTGAACGTATGCGAGTGCCCCGAATTTCCGAATATGATGCAAGTCAGGCTGTACGCCGAACATCATTTGGTACGGGATACCTTCTGTGCCTTTGTTGTACACGCGGTTCTTAACATACACCACGTTCTTCAACGCTTCTGGCCACAGACTAATCGGAAATCCAGCCTCATGCATAGACGCCTTCATCATCGCCACGAGAGACTGATGAGCTCGTTCACACAGATTCAGTTGTGAACTCTTCGGGCCAACTTGTACGTGTTCAACTCCATGTGCACTGTACCAATTCGTCATCGCATCATTTACGAATTCACCTCCTTTATCAGTCCACACTTGACGAACTCTGTACTTGACTCGTTCTGCTCCAGATAATTGTCGACCAGCTTGACGTTCAGACCAAAGCACATACGCTTTAATATGTCGGTTCACAACTTCACTCGACTTGCTAGTCAGCAAGTGGATTGTCACGAATCTCGAGTATCCGTCCATAATGACAAGTACTGCTTCATATCGAGCTCCATTCTTCTTGCTAGGAATTAGCAGATCCGCATATACAACGTGGTTCGGTGCCTTCAGCTTCCGGTCAAGTTTCTTCCGATGCTTCATTTTCTTCTGCTTACCAGCATGGTATGCATCACAGACACCCAATTCTCTCTGTTTCAGCATCATTCCTCGCACAAGACCTTTATCTACCATGGTCTTCAGGTACTGTGGACACGTATGCCCCAACCTCTCATGCCAGACATTTAACGATCCAACACCGTCCATTGCCGTAAAATTGCACAGCAATCCTGTTGGACTTCGAGTATAATCACCAGTTGCAGGATGAATCACCTCAAATTCCCATGTTCCTTCACGTGGCTGAGCAACGATAATGGTCTTATTCTCCTGCT